ACCCTTGAACACTATTACTGTATGTACTGTACACTCAACTGAACACTATTACTGTATGCTGTACCTCAATGAACACTATTACTGTGTACTGTACACTCAACCCTTGAACACTATTACTGTATGCTGTACACTCAACCCCTGAACACTATTACTGTATGTACTGTACTCAACCCTGAACACTATTACTGTATGTATGTACACTCACCTCTGTACTGTATGTACTGTACACTCAACCCCTGAACACTATTACTGTATGCTGTACACTCAACCCTGAACACTATTACTGTATGTACTGTACTCATCCCTTGAACACTATTACTGTATGTACTGTACACTCAACCCTTGAACACTATTACTGTATGTACTGCACTCAACCCTTGAACACTATTACTGTATGTACTCACTTAACCCTTGAACACTATTACTGTATGTACTGTACACTCAACCCTGAACACTATTACTGTATGTACTGTACACTCAACCTTTGACACTATTTTGTACACACTCAACCCTTGAACACTATTACTGTATGTACTGTACCTCACCCTGAACACTATTACTGTATGTATGTACACTCAACCCTTGAACATTTATTTACTGCGCCCCACATTATGTATGTCTGTCCTCCCGAACATATTGCTGTATGACTGTGATTCACCCTTGAACATATTCGTTGTGTCACCCTGAACACTATTACTGTATGTACTTTTTGTTTCTGTACACTCAACCCTGAACACTATTACTGTATGTACCTCATCCAGACACTATTACTGTATGTACTGTACTCAACCCTGAACACTACCATTGCTGTACCTCAACCCTGAACACTATTACTGTGTACTGTACACTCATCCCTGAACACTATTACTGTATGTACTGTACACTCAACCCTTGAACACTATTACTGTATGTACTGTACACTCAACCCTGAACACTATTACTGTATGTACTGTACACTCAACCTTGAACACTATTACTGTATGTACTGTACACTCAACCCTTGAACACTATTACTGTATGTACTGTACACTCATCCCTTGAACACTATTACTGTATGTACTGTCATAAGCCCCTTGAACACTATTACTGTATGTACTGTACACTCAACCCCTGAACACTATACTCTGTATGTACTGTACTCATCCCCTTGAACACTATACTGTATGTACTGTACACTCATCCTTGAACACTATTACTGTGCCTCAACCCTGAACACTATTACTGTATGTACTGTACACTCATCCCTTAGACACTATTACTGTATGTACTGCACTCATCCCTTGAACACTATTACTGTATGTACTGCACTCAACCTTGAACACTATTACTATATGTACTGTACCTCAACCCTTGAACACTATTACTGTATGTACTGTACACTCAACCCTTGAACACTATTACTGTATGTACTGTACACTCAACCCTTGAACACTATTACTGTATGTACTGTACATTCAACCCTTGAACACTATTACTGTATGTACTGTACACTCAACCCCTGAACACTATTTGTATGTACTGTACACTCAACTGAACACTATTACTGTATGTACTGTACACTCATCCCTTGAACACTATTATGTACTGTACCTCAACATGAACCTATTACCATGTGCTGTGCCTCTTGAACTTTATTGTTTTTTCTTACCTGTGTTCTACACTTCACGGTCAGCGTCTCTACTGTAGAAAGTACAACTATTACTGTATGTAAGGTGATGTGACTCTGTGAGATTACTGTATGCTGTTGGCGGGTCCGTTTAGGCCAAATAGATGAATAGATAGAGCAATGAATGAAGGGGATGAAGAATGAGCCAAGACCGGTTGAATGGAATGAATGGGATGGACCAGATTAGATGGAATGAATGAATGAATGAGATGAATGGGATGGATGATAGATGAATGGATGAATGAATGAATAGATGAGCCAGATCAGATGAATTAGATGGATAGATAGGAAGATAGATCAGATGATGAATGAATGAATAGGAATGGATAAGGATAGATAGATTGGATAGATAGAATGAATGAATGGACCAGATGGATGAATGGATGAATAGATGGATCAGATGAATGGAATGGATGAATGAATGGATGGATGGGATGGGACTGGATAAAATGGATGGATGATTAGATGGAATGGATGGAATGAATGGGATAGATAGATGAATGAATGAATGGGTGGAGTTGGAATGGAATAGATAGATAGATGGGATGAATGAATGGATGGATAGGAAGATGGTATCAGGATGAATGAATGGATGGATGAATGAATGAATGAATGGTTAGATGGATGGATGGATGGATGAATGAATGGATGGATGGATGGATGGATGGATGAACAGATGGATGGTGAATGGATGGATGGATAAGATGGATGGATGGATGAATGAATGGATGGATGGAATGAGTTAGATGGATGGATGAGATGAATGGATGGGTGAGATGGATTGGATGGATGGGATGGAATGGATGGATGGATGGATGGATGGATGGATGGGATGGATGAGATGGATGGATGGAATGGATGAATGGAATGAATGGATGGATGGACTAGATGAGTTAATGGATGGATGGATGGATAGATGGATGGATAGATGATGAATGGATAGATATGGAGCCGACAAACCAAACCAAACAAACCAAACCAAACCAAACCAAACCAAACCAAACCAAACCAAGACCAAACCAAACCAAACAAACCAAACCAAACCAAACCAAACCAACCAAACCAAACCAAGCAAACCAAACCAAACCAAACCAAACCTAACCTAACCTAACCTAGCCAAACTTAACCTAAGCAAACCCAACCTAACTTAGCCAAACCTAACTAACCCACCTAAACCAACCCAACAAAACCTAACCTAACCAAACCCAATATAATCCAACCTCGCCTGTCCTAACTCAACCTAACCAATCCTAAATGAACTGAACTTAACCTAACCTAGTGCAACCTAACCTAATTATTCCTAACTCAATCTAACCAAGCGTAGCCAAACTAACACAAGCAAACCTAACCTAATCCAACCTCTTCCAACATAACCTAAGCCAACACAACCAATCCTAACTCAACCTAACCTAACCCATTGTAGCCTAACCTATCCTAACAAAGTTAACCCTACCCAACCTAACCTAGACAAACCTAGCCTAGCCTAACCCACCCTAGCCTAGCCTAACACTGACTGAATCTAACCCAATCAGACTCAACCTAGCATTAACCTAACTCGGTGTTTCTCAAACTTTCTCTTAAGCCCCTCACAAATAATGATGAAACTATTCTGTTTTGGTTCTCTTCCTTTATTTTAAAGTTTTCAATCATCAAACAGAATGCATATCTTGTTACAGTTCAATGGGATGGATGACATTGTTTCCTTTGAGTCAGTCGACTGATTCAAGGTTGAGTCACTGATAAAGCACATCTCACGTCTGGGTCCACATGTAACAGGTTTCGGCTTTTATTCTCTATTTGAAGAAGGTGGAGAAACCAGATTCACATAAATACGTAGTAGAAAATGGCAGGAGGACTCCAAGTGCGATCTCACTAACTTTTAGATATGACTGATACATTGAGCACCAGAATACAGTCAGAGATTTTTCTTCATAGAGGTCTCTGGCAACAGAATCGTTCTGAGATCAAGGAATTCATCTGAATAGAAACTAGAATCGTGCAATCTGAATGAATCCGTTGGAAATGATAAACTAGCTGCTGCACCATACTGTGTAAACTGTACCGTAAGGGTACAGTGAGTTCTGCTATAGGCGTGTTTTGATAGCAATTTGCTCTTGATTTATGAATTCGGAACAATATTTGTATAACGTGACGCCTGTTTTTCTATAACACGATTTTTGCTTACTATTTCTCCAATTTTGTGGTATTAACTGTGATTATGGTAAAGAAGAATATCTCCAAAAAGCGTTCTGATGATAGAATTCCGGTGATTATCGTAAAAGAAAGGATATAACACTTGAAGAAGCTCGATGTTATCAACCTCAAAATCACCCTTCTCCCCATCAAGTTACATTCATATTTTTTCAAGGTAAAGTGTTACATTTACTGTATGATTTCATTATTAGATATGAATGTAACATTTATTTAGACTATGCTATCCTTTGTGTTAGGCTAACTACTAAATTTTTTCGATTCGAGAGTAATCTGCCTAACCCTATTTTCTCCATAAGCCCTGTTATTTCTATTCGCGATTTTCTATAACCGATATTTTACAAGAACACAATTATCGCGTTATAGCAGAACTACCTGTATTATGATTACACACAATGACAAAAAAAAGAACAAATAAAAAACAATATTTCTCCCCTAACAAGTAAAGTTGAATCAAAGTTTCCACATTTTCTCCAAACATATACTACTTACACTAGCCTGCCATGGCCCCCCTAAAATCTTGCCGTGACCCCCTTGGTGGCCACTTGCCATTTTGAGAAACAGTGACCTAATCTAACCTAACCCTACCCAAGTCTAACTAACAGAACCTATTTCAGAAAACAAACCTGCCTTATTGGAGAACAAAACTAATCATAATGCAAACTTGTGTTACTGAGCATCAATAAGGGTGGAGCACTTGTGTTACTGAGCATCAATAAGGGTGGAGCACTTGTGTTACTGAGCATCAATAAGGGTGGAGCACTTGTGTTACTGAGCATCAATAAGGGTGGAGCACTTTTGTTACTGAGCATCAATAAGGGTGGAGCACTTGTGTTACTGAGCATCAATAAGGGTGGAGCACTTGTGTTACTTAGCATCAATAAGGGTGGAGCACTTGTGTTACTGAGCATCAATAAGGGTGGAGCACTTGTGTTACTGAGCATCAATAAGGGTGGAGCACTTGAATTACTGAGCATCAATAAGGGTGGAGCACTTGAGTTACTGAGCATCAATAAGGGTGGAGCACTTTTCCATCTGAGTTATGGACATTCTAGTAAACTTTGTACTGTAATATTTTATATTCTCAGTAACTGTTATTGTTACAGTGATCTTTTAACATTACCTCAGGTTTTGATGAAGGCAGCGGCACTGGTCGATTAGACGGTGGAGGAGGAGGAGGTTGACTCGGCGGAGGAACAACCGGGCGGTTGGGCGGAGGAGGCGGTCTCTCCGAGGGAGGAGGCGTCATAGACCTGATAATATTGGTGCCGGTGTGACGTCCCACAGTGTTGGGGCGGGTTGGACCCTGGACTGGACCGGGCGCACTAGGAGCACATCTGTGGTGATCTGGGGGGGTGCGAGAGGGCAGCAGAGAGTCTTCCCCCGAGGCTGTTGTTTGGTTTTGGAACTCTAATTCACTTGATGTCCGGTACTCCCTCATGCTGTTTGTCCGGCTTGCAGGTTTACTGGAGGGTGGAGTGCTACCATTTGGCTGAAACACAATATAAATTTAATATAACAACAAATAAAACTCATTACCAAATGTGTACAGTGATCCTCCATTAATGAGCACAGTTGGTTCTGAGACAAACTCGTTAACTAAATCTATTATTTCAATGGGATACTAGGAAAGTGGTTCCTCTCATAGAATTCCCTTAAAATGAATTAAAAAGTGCAGTACATACAGGTAATAGAATTAACAACATTAAATATAAACAAAATACAGTACTGTACAGTATACTCTGCCACGTTCATAGAGTGATACAGTAAATATAATTTGTAATAAAAGTTTAAAGTCCTGCTGTAATAGTCGAGATAAGTTTATTTCTCTAAAAACAGGGCCACCATTTGTAATGACGTCACCACTTACCCTGCACACGATGTACGGATGGAGATAGGAGTTAAGTGAGAAGTAATGACAGTGTCTGGACTTTGTTTTGAGAATGCCTGATGCTAGGTACACATGACAAAATAGTGTTGTTATTGTTTTGATGATTCACTAATGAACCACTGGGATATATCACCATTTATATTAATAAATGGGTAAATTTTAAGTTTTGGTCATTCCTCCACTTAGACATGCAGACTATGTTTTTTTTCTGGAGGTTTGTGATGCGTTATGAACAATTTAGACTTTCATTTCTATTGAAAATCACTAGTTTCAAGTTACTACCCCCCCGACCCTTACCGGTGTATGGTAAGCAAGTCTTATAACTTACCGTATTTGCCAGAGTATAAGATGCGGTTTAAAAAAATTAGTATCACAGATTACCCTGCGTCTAATGTGCCTGTATTACGGATGGGAGGCTGAGCACCACAGGCGGAGGTGTCCAGCTAGGGGTCTGGGACGAGCAGTAGTCCACTAAGCACAAAAATTGTGTTACTAATAACAAGACAAATTATCACAAACTTCACGCAAATTTGCAGCGTAAATAATGGCTTACATTGGCTTAACGGCAGAGGGAAGCTCACATCTCACTGCACCTCCTTTCCCAGCATACGTAACCCACACCAGATACATGTCTTACATTTAACGACTGTGTTACCTTTCAGAAACATTTGTTTATTATCTAAATGAAAAATGACCTGAAAGATTAAAGAAATGTTAACAGAAAGTTCAGCCGCCAGTCAGCCATTTGCCATGGTCGATGGCGCCTAAAAAACAAAGATGGTGCTACACTCTGGTAAATCGCGGCTACCAAAATCACAGCCAAAAATCAGAGTTTCACATTGTCGGTAATTCTCTTGACCAAAATACAAACAAGCCACACAGCAGCTCTGATCAGAGGAAGAGTTGGGTTAGTATAATGTTATTATATATGATTTCCTACTTGACTCCAGTATATACCTATATTATATTTACAGGCACAAAATTATATGTTTTCCCCTACAAAACCACTTTAAAACCACTGTCAGTAATTGTATGATGAAACGTACTAAAATTGTTTTTTCCAAAAAATATCCTTGTAAAATAGGGGTGTATCTTATACGATGAATTGCGTCTTATAAGCCGGCAAATACAGTATAATATCACTTATCATACCATACCCTACCCTACCCTAACGTAACCTAACCTAACCTAATCTAACCTAACTTATGACTTGTATTTTCTTATGCGATAGAAAAATGTTTTATGACAGAAATCCCGTAGAGATAATTTGTGTTATTGTTTATACCCTGTAGTACTTAATCCAATAGTTAGAATCTTAAGGTTCCCCAGATGACCAAAACCAAAATAATACCAATATTGTTTGAAATGTTTACACTATGAAATATGTTGTTTGGGCAGCTAATATTCATTGAGTTAGTTAATATGCTTAGTAATATTTATATACTTAGTAATATTTATTCATAGTATTACTGTGTTGTACAGTAAATCACAATTTATTATCTAATAATATTTATTTACAGAGCCAATCAGCCGAGAAAGTTGAACAACTACTTCCAGGGTTCATCAAGGCAGATAAAATAAGTTTACCATAAGTAGATGTGTTTATGATACTAGAGTATTATAAAGAACTCCACCATCCAGCTATGAAGTACGTTAAATTACATCTGTCATCTGATCATCTCAGGCCCATCCCCTGGCCATGGTCGTCCCTAGTCCTTCCACAACATTACATATAGACATCAGTTACAAAAACTTACATTTTCCTGACATTAAATAGAGAACAGTGATGAAACTTCCCGTTGCAGTTATCGGTCTTTTGCATCATTTTGGCAGCCAGCAAGTATATACACACCATGATACTTGAGCGACAGAATGAGCGGTAATTTATTTTAACCTAAAAATAAGGTACACCTGTGTATATCAACATTGTATATGGCCACAAGTCCTGTATTTCTGCTGGTAACAACACACACACCACAGCAGGCAACCTCCACGTTTCCTCTCAGCAGCTCAGCGCAAACAGTGACGTCACAACAAATCACAGAGCTTTATGCAGTCCGCGTGACTTTTAACAACTTTAACCGTTATTTTTTTAACTTTTTGGCCCAATTTATTTTAAAATATCATCACCATCGTAAATTTAAGTATTTTCTTTATCCATTGACCTGCCATCTTCTGAAAAAATTCCGACTGACCTCTCGTTCATTCCCGGCAGCTTTGTTTACATAGCGGAAGCACAAACAGCTGATTGTAGACACAGTTGATGAAGAAATGCCACATTGGTTCTAATGCCTTCTTCGTATTTCTTAATAATTTCTTGTTACACTTGAACTGAAATCGCCTTCCAAGATTTCTCCAGACCAATGCTTGATAATTTCACCAATAAAATTTAAAGTTCATAACAATTTATTTAGCTAATTCCAGATTTGTTTTATTTAAACCAACACTGCACTGTACATTATCAATATGTTAATTAAGTTTCAGAATGACCAATAAATTTAATGTAAAAATGAAAAAATATTCAGGAGCACAACTTTCTCGATGTTTACTCCACCGGAAACAAAGGTAAACAGAGAACCAATTATTGGCGGACGAGTCAAACAGCTGATGCGCGCACCAAAACAAGTTTCTCGTAGAGCCGTTGTTAGTAAAATTTGTACGCATTAATAGAACTGAAAGTCCTTAGTGGAGCTAACTCGTTAACTGAAATCTTGTAAATTGAACCGCTTGTTAATGGAGGGACCACTGTATTTAATGACTGGAGATCATGGTGTACTGCGCACATCATTGTCATCCTTAATATCTCTTTTATTCATATTACGCTACATAACATTCAAATCCACCGCGCTTGTAGAGTCACAGAAAATGGTAGAATACGGTAAACTTTGGTAAGGGATAACTCACCTGCTGTATATTGTTTAATCTGAATTGTTGCCGATGTATGGCCATATAATATTAAGTGTATGTACTGACAGTAGTAAAGAGAACTCAAGGTATCTTTAGGATGATTGGGAAGGTCCAAGTGATAAGGACTAGTGTACTATAAGGGATACCGTATATCTCGGCCTACAAGACGGAATTTGAACCAAAAAAAAATCAGCCCAAAGTTAGTGGGTCGTCTTAAGCACCAGAGATAAAATTCTTACCTCTTAAATATTGCGGTTTAGTGTGTCAAGAGTGGTGATGGAAACATGGTAAACCACTCACAAGCTCCTACCACTAATTATTTTATACTGAAACTTCGTTTGGGAAGCTGGATTAAAATGAAGATTACCAGTATATTAAATAATAAAAGTATATATTATAAACCAATCCTAACATACCGTAAAAGAACAATAACGATGCTTTAGCTGCTATCATCCCTCACCCCCACATTTGCCAGTGACAAGAAAGGAAAGTGATGTGACTGTGATGTACTGTGGCTGTTTTAGCGTCCTTGTGTGTTAGGGTGGTCAATGTGCATATCTGTATATTAACTGATCATAATACTTATCTCCTATAAATAATTAATTTAAATTTTATTTTTTACAAAAGAATATTCAGTAAATGACTGTGTTAGTTCTTGAAGCTACACGGCAGTAGTAAATTTAGAATGAGAATAGTGAACAGAAATCATATGTGGATTCAGAGTTTGGTCGTAATGATCACCATAAATTTCTGGTCAACTTCACCTGCACAGTTATAATGGTAGCCTCCCTTTTTACGAAAAAATATACAAATTAAAGAAAACCTTTGCAGTGTGTTTAATGTATTACATTATAGTATAAATAAATAAATAAACAAATAAATCGGCAAATCTATTTCAAAATTAAATGGAAATATTTACTCACCCAACATTGATTCTGAATTAAAATACTTGGGAAGTGAATTGGCCTTATTTTTAAACCTTAACCATAAATATATGGAAAAAAAGATCAGAATTAGAAACATCATATTGTTTGTATATTTGTGTTGTCAAGGAAGAAGAAACAATTGAAGCTTTTACTGCAATTGTGTATAAATGAAGACGAAAGATAAATCAGCAACCTAAAGACTTGGTCACCAATTTTAAGTGATGCCATATGGAAGTAGGGTCTGCATTAGACAATACTGGCATTGTGCTTCCAATACCTTCCAGGCAGTAGAATCTTCCCTGTTTGGTAGCTGCTAAAACTTTTAGTAATATTGCTTTGATACAACATGATAAATTAGACAAACAATGAAAATAAACAAACAAAAGTTATTTACCAAGACCTCTCTGAGAACAGAGGATGGAGGGAAAGGGAGATAAGAGGCTATTTATGGCCTGTCTTTGTGTAGAGAGTTGACCACACTAGAAATAATTCATTTAAAATTTATTTTTACATAGAATATTCAGTACATAAGATACTATTATAAAATATTGTGAATATATATACAGTATATATATATATATATACAGTCAACCCTCACTTCCACAGCGGTCCCACATTCGCGTTTCACGTTCTTGGCGGTGCCCTGCAGAACCCAGGATGCTCACATTCCATGGGTGTACCCTTTACGGTGAAGTATAATTTTTTATTTAGCTCATAAAAATTCATACAAATTATCCGGCAGAATATAATTTTCATTGCACCAAATTC